TGGAGGCATGGAAAAAGGAAAATAAAATAGAGATGTTCATTACCACATTTAAAGAACAGAGGAGTGAAGCACAAGCGGAGATAACAGTTTAAAAAAAAACTAACGCAAAATATATGTCACAGTTCAAACAATCTAGTAGTAAGTAAAAAGTATAGATATACACATAATAAAATACAAGAGTAAGCAGAATACTAAGTAGGTTTAGCTATATAAGTAGTTTAATAAATTTAACAAAAAAATTTTTTAAGTTACCAAAGTGGTCAAAAAGTCACTGTTTCCAAAATGAAAACAATATTTATTTTTTTAAAAGAGGAAGCAAGTTAGATTATGTTGTTATATTAAAGCATTTAGGTTCAACAAATTAAAATAATCTTTTACAATCTCTAAAAACCAGTACTCTCTAGCTTTTAAATCAGTAACTGGGGAATAGGAAACATTATTTCATACACTCTTCAGTCCCTCCAACACTGGCTTTTGATAGAGATAAGTGAGTCACTCTGGGCCATGTAAACTATACACACACCAGTAGCTATTTTAAGATGCCCTTGAGAGATAAGAGGCTGATGCCCTAAAGGTTCAACTCATTGATTTTATCAACCCCAACACTAAATTTCTGATTATCTGTCAAATTCAACTCATCCCACACTCCTGTTTTAGCTCATAATAACAATATATCATTACTAACATCAGAGCTGCAACCGCAAACAAAACACTCCACCCAAATAAAACTTTTCTGGCTCATGGGGCCTGGCATACACTCTTGCTCTGTCCCCAGTGAAAACTGCCCTTAAGGTCTCTATAAAGTAGAGATTACACCAGGATTATGCCACGTACTTGCAACACTGAATAAATTAATGTACTGGATTAACTGAACAATGAATAAATTCACTGCCTAAGCATCTAGAGACACAAAGATTAGTGGTCATACAAGGCTAATTATGCTACTCTTCCCACTGGTCAAATTTGATGCTGAGCATTCACTCAACATTTGCTGAGCTGTAACTGCCAGGCACTAAGGATAAAAACACAAGCCCTCAAAGGAGGACAGGGCTGTGAGGTGGCCAGACATGGACGCAAAAATAATACAGAGTTGTTATTGCCAAGACGCTACGAATGCACAGAAGAAAAAGTTCCAATGGCCTTTCTGTTTGTTTGTTTGTTTGAAGGGAGTGTGAGGGTTCTAGGAAGATTTTACACAGGTGGACACAAATGAGTTTAAGCCTGAGAAAAGAATGAAGAAGCATCTGCCAAGCAGGAAGAAAAGAAAAAATATCTTAGAACTGAGCTTAAAGCAACCAGATGTTTCAGTAAAGCCACTTCATTTTAACGTTGAGAAAATTCACAAGATGATATTAGCATGTTTAATCAAGAGGCACACAGTTGCTGAGTGGTAGAGTTGAGACCAGAGCCCAGGTCCCCATGTTTTTATCCACTTTACCCTGCTATTTAATAATGGTTTGAGTTTACACCCTTTTACAAAAAAGATCATTTCAAAGTAAGATTTTTTTATAGTCCCATATTGCTGAACTCAAAGTAGGACATGTATGGATTCTAAAAACAAGCTAAATTCCCTGGTTTTACATCGTATATTACCTTCACATTTATCAATATGGTTTTTTAAATACTAGCATCAAAAGAGCTATCACCCTTGTCTATGTTATTTTTATAAGAATTATTCCTATTATTAGTATAAAGCAAAAATTCTTTAGTTACCTAATATGCCATATCAGTAATGGTAGGGAAAACAGGCACTCTGAAACATACAGAACCAGTGGAAGCACATAACTTGGTACAACTTTTGTGAACCACAAAATATGGACATAGTAAATGACGTGACAGGCAGACCTCACAGATACTGCAGGTTCAACTGCAGACCGCCACAATAAAGCAAATATCAATAAATCGAGTCACATGAATTTTTTGTTTCCCAGTGCATATAGACATTATATTTACACTATACCGTAATCTATTAAGTGTGCAATATAGCATTATGTCTAAAAAAAACCAATGTACATACCTTAATTTTAAAATACTTTATTGCTAAAAATAATAATAACAATAAAAAAATAATTAAATACTTTATTGCTAAAAAATGCTAACCGTCATCTGAACCTTCAGCAAGTCACAGCAGTAATATCAAAGATCACTGATCACAAATCACAATAACAAATATAGAAATAATGAAAAAGTTTGAAATATTGAGAGAATTACCAAAATGTGACACAGAGACAAGAAGCAAGCAAATGCCATTGGAAAAATGATGACGAAAGACTTGCTCAGCACATGGTTGCCACAAACCTTCAATTTGTAAAAAATGCAATATCTGTGAAGTACAATGAAGCAAAGCATAATAAAACTTACAAGATTGATTATTCCCTGTAGCACTGTTAGTAACAGCAAAACACTGGAAGCAACCTAAATATTCATGGATTAAAAAGTGGTTAAATAAATTGAGGTACATCAATAAAGCAAGGTACAATGAACTATTATGCATTCCTGATAAAGAATAAAGGAGCTCTACACACACTGACAGGGATCTCACTCTCCAAAACCTCAGAAACTTACTCTCTGAACCTCAGTGACTCTCAAGTATTAGTACCCTGTGCAGCCCATCCTGGGCAAGTAACAGGTTACCTTTGTATTACTGATCATTGATCAAGCAAAGTTATGCCAGAGAATGTAGCCAAGTGGTCTTCCAAAACTGCCAATTAGACTGAGCTTGATAACGCAGTACTATAGTGCCCTCTAACTTTAAAAAACATTTTACAGTAATATTCTAATTGTAAGAATGAAATGTAGTCATATAGTGCTTACAAAATTAAGTACAAGAAAAAATTCTACTCAAGCAGAAACTGCAATATGACAAATAACTAGCAAATCACAATTCTATCAGTCAAATTAATGACTCATGGGATGGCAAAGCATACGTGTAAAACATATTATAAAATTTCCAATTCACATTTCATAGATAACTTTTATAAGCAAGACAAGTAATTATTTTATCCTTATAATTTGAATTGAAATGGTTCGTTTTCTGTTTTAGAATATTTAATGTTATTTCAATAATAGCAAAACAGTATTCATAAAACAATCCTTTTTGAGATGAGTTCTTTGTTGATCTAATGAAATCTCTGGTACACCCTGCACCCCAAAGACCACCAAGACTTCATGTTAAAAAACGAGATCAAACTTGGATTTCTACTAGAAAAGCTTTCACTATCCAACAGAGAGTAAATATTTATAAACATTCATTTGCTATACATTTCATTCAGCAAGTGATGCTTAGTATGTATGAGATACTGGGCAAGGTACTAACAGCACAATAATGAAAACAGACATGCTCCCCTGCCCTCACTGGGGTGGGGAATGTGGGGAAGGGGAACAGCTAAACCAGAAATTACACAATGAACTACCATGAAGTACTGGGTGTTACAGTAGCACAGATGAGGGGCTCCCAAACCTGACTTGGGGAACAAGGTATCAGAGAATGTTTCCCAAAACAAATGATGTCTAAGTGGCAGCCTAAATGTTAAGTTCACACTGACCGAAAAAATAAGAGGGCAGAAGAAAAGGAAGAATGTTTCAGACAGTTAAGTAAACATGGCAAAAGCCAAGATGTGAGATAGTACTTAAAATGTTCAAGGAACTGAAATAAGTTCAGTATGCAGGAGCAGAAAGGTAAGACATCAGGCTGCAGAAATAAGCAGGAGTCAGAAAGTGAAAGGCTTCCTAAATCATATTAAGAAATTTAGACCTTATTCTAATAGGAATATGATAACCAGAGCTGTACTTTAGAAACAGTCACTCTGATTGAAATGCAAGATTCTAGTTAGATGTGTTAAGACTAGAGGCAGAGCACCAACTAAGATGAGCATTTTAGTAAAACACTTGAGATGATGTGGCCTGGACTGGGTGGTGGCCAAGTGGACAGGAGCCAAGAGAGAGATAGAACATAAATAGGATTCAGCAGTAAATCGAACATGGGGATTCAGAGAGAGGGGAGAGTCAAGAATTAGTAAGCAAATTATTCAAAGCTACAATGCGCAGATCTTAGGTTTCATCTATGGTTTACATACAATGCCTAGCATTAAATATATTTATTAAATGAATAAAGGTTCTGTATTTAATGGCAAAAAGATGACGAAAACAATTTACACTAACAAGCAGGAAAAAGATATATTTGGCTATGATAAACACAGCTCTGGCTATACTTTAGAAAAAAAACAAAAAACACAAGGTAAGTGAGGAGAATATCCAAATAGCAACCCAGCCAGCACTTGCTAGAAACTGTAGATATTTCAGAATTGCTGGAGCACTTCCTAATTGTGGTGTGGACCCTGGTGATCTACTGCTGAGTGACTTTTCTGCACATCTTGTAACTTCTACACCACAACTAAAATGGGATCTGGTCCTGGAACAAAGATAGTACCTGACCTTCAAGCACTGGAAACTTTACTGAGGCAGGGAGGGGCAGAGTAGGATCAAGAAGCCAAGTGCTTCCTTAAATAAAATATTTCCTGCAACTTGCCCCAGATTTTACAGCTGGGATGATGTTCATCTGTAGAGGGTTTATCAACAAAATGCTGACTTCAGCTGTTTATATTAGCAAATATTAGAAACTGGTAGGCAAATAACACTTCAAAGATAATAATTTTCAAAAAAGTTCCAGAAAAAAATTAGAATATACACGTTTATAATATAAAAGTCACCAAATACTGAGGTTAACAGAACAAATAAGGTTTTACATAAAAGAAATATTGCATGGTAATAAACAGACTTAAAGTCGGAAATACATTTAATTCAAAAATGTCCACAGTTTATGTCAAATTTTCAGATTAATCTATTCCAAAGATAAGACATTTGATCAATATTTATCTATAAAATATTTATATATTTATATCATAATCAAATGAACAAGCCTCCAAAGGTTAATATACAAGCTAATTCCAACCAGTCAGAAAATCCCAAAGAAGCTAAAACCAATACCGTAAGTTCTTTACCTGCAGCTCCTTTGAGACTCTTTCTAAGTGATTAGTTATCTTTTTAATCAGATCACTATACATCTGTTCCGAGTGCTGCTGGCATACACATTTATACACACAACTGTGGGGAGGAGGGGAGACAGAAAAACCAAGTTAATGATTTTAAGGTTGAAGCACTTAATTCAACCTAAGGTTAAGGCATACCCTCAATATGTAACCACTGGTCAAATAATTAATCCAAGGCCTCAAAAAGTGACTAATTGCAACTCTTAAAACAAAAATTTATCCTGCCCCCATCAGTGTTCATATGGAAGAGACATTATCACCAGCTACAAATAATCTTTTTGAGTATTCTATTAAATGTTTCATCAGTATTAGATAATCTAATATTGGGTGATTATCTGAGAGTCTGACTATGATAACTACTCTCATTTTAATGAATGTCAAAATAAGGAAGAGAGAGTGACAGTCAGCAGACGTTTGCTGTATAACCTCTTTGAGCATCACTTGTGCAGAACAGCACAGTTGTCACTTCCTCCTCTTGTGACTGGGCTGATCTCACAACCCACCCCAGTCCTCACTAATTTGCTACTTCCATTTACCAGGAGCTGGGAAACAAAATAACCAAAGATAGTTAAACTTGTGTGCCACAAACATCAACAGATTAAGCTAACATCTCCCTGTGATACTAAAACTACATATTTTTTGTCTTTTTCCACTGACCTCTATAATTTCTGCATTATGTATGGTGGGCGTGGCAGGCTGAGGCAGGATTAACACTATCTTCATTTGAAAACCAATAAGTATAAATCAACCCCCCAACGCACAAGTACGGAACATATAAATAACTTACAGAGCCTTAATGTAGGTATCATATATTATATGCATACAAATTGTCATAATTCAAGTTGCTGTGAACTTCACTATACCCTCTAAAACCCAGGCAAATTAAGTCTTGACTTACCTGTATATCTGTTCATAGGATATGGGGATATAGTCACCAGGACTCTGAGTTAAAAGCTGATCTATGGCACCATCCAATTTTGGCCAGTATGTGCTCTTATAATCTTCAATAGTTATAACATTCATTACTAAAAGTAAAAAGTAAAATTAATATTACTATGTGCTACATGTAAAATAAACACAAATCAATCTTGCATTCTCAAATTCCTCCCACTTACTCTCTGATTTTACATTGACACTGTGTCACCTAAATACAACTCAATTATTATCCCATTTCCAATTTCAAAAATCCCAACCTGGCCAGGGATTTTAAGCAGCCATTAATTATGATTTAAAAAAGAATTACTATGAATCTGTTCATCTTTAAAAATAAAAACAAAACAGCAATTATCTCTGGTTCCCTTTCCCGGTTTCCGTTATCAGTGGAGAGTTTCTTAACATGCAATGACCCTCAAATACATTGCCAATGATGTGACAAGATGGCCTATGCATGAACCACGATAAAGTTCTGGGAAACTATAACCTCCAATCAATCTTTACAGACAGGTCTGGGAAATCTACCTAGGGAAAGGACTATGGAAATGAAATTCCAAATGCTATGGTGCTAAAAACTCACAGAGATTTATCGCACCACCAGTACCTCCTGGACATGACTACAGCTCTGACTCAGGCTCTCCCTAGCCTACCCTTTAGAAAAGCCCAACAGAAAAAAAAACGTGGATGAACTGGAGCCTTACATTGAAGGCGTACCTCGTTCTTAACGGCTGGCTCTTATTCCTCCGTGATAGATTTAATAAAGCATTTGCAACAGGTTGTCCTAACAACTGTGAAATCCAGTTGGGGTGGATGGGTGCTTCACAACAATGAAATGCTAATGTTAAAAAGAGCTACCCTAAGCACCTAAGATACGCTGTGTCTTATGAACCATGATAGGAGCTAACAACTACTAGATCAGCCATTTTACTGTTTATTTTTATCAGAAACTCAAGAGCAGAAGGTTGACTTCCCCAAGTGCACACAGCTAATCACTGGCAGAGATACCAGGTAAAGCAAAGCCTTGACCTAGCATCTTTCTATCACACTACTGATTTCCAAATTTTAGTCATTCAGGTTCAAGACGTTTCTCATATCTATGTGCCACCTATATCATGTTTGTTCAATATTTTCCTTAAATCAGTTCACTTTTTTTTTTTGCTTAAATATACTTAAAGGACACTTGAGGAGTGAACTATTGATTTACACAACACAGAATAATCTTAAATGTATTCTGAAATCAGACCAAAAAGGCTACATACGGTAAGACTCTCACTTATTTATAAAGGCATAACTATAGGGAGGAAAACAGATCAGTGGTTGCCAGTGGGACTGGAAGGTGGAAAGAAGGACTGTCTGCAAAGGTGAAGCAGGAAGGAATTTTTAAGACAATGGACTCTTGTATGGAACCGCGGTAGCGGATACACCACTCCACGCATTTGTCAAAACCAACAGAACTATACACTATAAGAAGTACATTCACTGTATGAAAAATAAAAAATTTCACCCAGGATGTAGTGGTAAAGATGGAATGGCAAACTGTGGCAAATGAATCTAATTTACAAATGAATCACATAACCCACACTAAAAAAAAAAAAATAGGGAAGAAAATGGAGAGGAAAGGAATGTTTTGACTACATATAAGGCTAAAAACAAAAAGAACTGTACATGCGTGTGCACACACAGGCACACACACAAAAGGGAGAAGGAGGCCAGATGCTGGAGGGCCTTATGGGCAATGGAAAGACTTTGACTTTCACTCTAAGATGAGGACATGTGGAAGGTTTTGAGCAGTGATGTAATATGACTTTGATTTTCTATGGATCATTCCAGCTTCTGTACTAGCAATAAACTAAGTTAGAAGGCTGTGAGATGATGGGGGATTGGAGCAGGTGGTAGCAGTGAGGGCAAGAGGAGAGGTCAGATTTTGAATATATTTTAAGGTAGAGCCAACAAGATTTGCTGATGGTTTGGATGTGAGATGTGAGAGAAGGGTCAAGGATAAAGTTTTTAGCCTTCAGCACCGAAGGATGGGGTTGCCGTTGACTAAGATGAGGAGGATGTAGGAGGAAGCTTAGCACGTCTGGGAGTGAGGCTGAAACTGTTGGTACCCCACCCATTTACAGTGATCCACAAAGGCCACTGTCAACACCTACCATTATTTGCCAGTGTTCTCTCTGGCTGCCGGGGTTGCTCTGCCTGAAGGAGAGGCCAGTTGGATGTTCTAGAGAATTAACACCCCCAGGAGCCACCATCAAGTAATGACTAATGAGAACTCAGTGTAAATACTCAGCGTCTCCCTTTACTCTGGGTGAGTATGCACTGACTCCCAAGTCTCCACTGGGATTCCACTCCAGTCGCCACAGTGCTGCCTTCTTTATGGCTTCCTTACCATCCCTGTCTCTGTCTCCACACTCCTGCAGGTGCTTCCTAGGATCACCCCCTTGTGCATAAAACTACTCGCACTTAAAACAAAATAAGAATTGATCAAAAACAGAAAAGTAGTGTCATTTGCAATATAGAAATAAACACAGTGTTATTAAATTCTAGCTAGGTCCTACTGCCTTTAAAGGTTCTGAGTGAAGCTTGCTTTCCCTGTGAATAAAGGAGATCAGCAGATGCTGAGAAGTGTTGCACGCTAGCTCCAAAATACCACCTTTCTGCTTTCAGAAGGATTTAAAAAAAATTTTTTTTTCTTTAAGTAACTGAAAAACAAAGAACTTTCTCACTATGTGATTCTAGGTTATTGAACCTCCTATCAAGTGTTTATCACCTAATCCACATCATACATCTGCTCTACGCCAAACCCTGGGAATTAAGGAAGGTAAGTGACAAGCTCAGAAAGAAAACTTCAAGTACTGAAAGCCAAAAATGAACACACCAACCCCATGGGTTCCTGGACCACTCGGTTCAATTAACTCCACCCTGCGCTGCGGCTGGGGAGACACCTGCTTCCCAAGCACATGTTTCACACTTTGGCAAATCTCCAAGTCAAAGATATGACAGAGGAAAAAGAACCTAAGATGTGAAGTCCTGCAGCTGTAAGGACAGAATGAAGTTCCACAGAAGCAATGATTTCTGATGCCTCTCAGGTGACTTTCATGTGGCATTAAAAAAAAAAAAAAACTGCTCTGGTTTTAAATATCTTTAAAAACAGACTTTCAAACCAAAACGAAAAAGGCACAAGTCACAGTAGAAAATCTTAAATCCTATTTCCACATCTAAAGAGAAGCTATATTTCCACATATATTTTGCTTGAAAAACAACAGAAAACCAATTCACTTACATGCTAGCTATTACGGAGTGAATGTTTGTGTCCCCCCCAAGACTCATGTGTTGAAACCCTAACCCCCAATGTGATGGCATTAGGAGGTGGAGCCTTTGGGAGGTTTTTAGGTCATGGGGGCGGAGCCCTCACGTGAATGGATTTAGAGTCTCTAGAGAACTCCCTCACCGCTTCTGCCATGTGAGGACCCAGTGAGAAGATGGCCTTCTATGAACCAGGAAGCAGCCTCTCTCACCAGACTCTGAATCTGCCAGCACCTTGATCTTAGACTTCTCATCCTCCAAAAGTGTGAGATAAATAAGCCACCCAGTCTATGATAGTCTGGTACAGCAGCATGAACAGACTAAGACACTGGCTAACATGACTTTCTTCTCAGGAGCCACCCAATCTTCACCACAGTAGCAAAGGAAAGCAGAACACAGAGAAGCATCTGCAGAGCTACAGGGAGTTTGAAGAACGAGCACTAGTTGGTATTCATAAACTTAGCCAAAGATTAGGAAGGTTTTTCATACCAATCTGTGGTCAACACTTAAAATGACAATCCAGAAAATGTTAAGATATTGAATTCCTTACTAATCTCAACCCAATCTCTGGCTTAAAACAAACAAAATATATTAGCTGTTTGGTTTATCTAACACTTGACATGCACAGCCTCAAAGTATGTGTGTATGTGTGTGTGCGTGCGTGCGTGCAGTCCTGAATTCTAAAACTAGATCCTCTAGCTAGAGAAATGTAATCAATCGCTTTCAACTTTGCCCACAAAAAAGTTCAGACTAACCAAAAAAATATTAAACATGGAACCTAAACAAAAATGAAATTACCATTAAATAACTAAATTTTATCTAGGTTAGATTTTCCAGCTTGAAAAAAATGGACTATTTTTTAAACTGTTTAAAGAAGGTATTCTAAACTCAAATGCCTACAAGGCCCAGGCCATTAACATAAATGAGTAAAACAGGCCTGGTATAAGAATAAAAAAGAGGAGTGAGCATTTCAATGAGCTGGAGAATGCATATGCCCTCTAGAGACATTCAAGTTCACAAAATGTAAAAACCTTCAGGTTGCCCTCATAACATCAAGCCACAAGGCTTAAACCTTGAAACTCATAACAAGCTCACACAGCCTCAGTTTTATTGAGAAGGTACTACAACTGACCTTTACTAAAATAAGGTGAAATAAAATCTAAAAAACATGGAATAGCTGGAATCTAAGGTTCAGGAAATACTATCAGATTGCTAATAAATGAGAAACTATTAGGGATTATGTAATTCATACCAGGCAGGAATAAATATGTTCAACTCTCATACTTTGTTATCCAAGTAACTTATCAACACTTGACACATTATGTGTTTATTATCAATCTTCCTCAAACTAGACATAAGCCCCTTGGAGAAGGAATTCAGCGCTAGAGCCCCAGCTCCAAACTATCATATGATAGGTATTCAATAATGTATGTGAAGTAAATTAATTTAATGGAAGTCAAAATAAATGTTTAATATAAAAACAGTCCAAGGCATACTACTTACTAGTAGCTCTGGAATTAAAAATTGAATTGGTTTCACACAGGCTAAAAGCAAACCAGGTAAGCCCTACCAGATATTCCTTTTGAGTTTTTTTCTTGTTATTTGTTTGTAAGGGAAGGATATATTCAGAAACTATAGCAGGTATTATTAATTCATTCTTGGTCTACTGCAAAGACTGGCCACTACCTACTATCAGTGGCTCTCAAATTCTGATACCAGAGCAGCATCAGCATCACCTGGAAACTTGTTAACTTAATGTAAATGCAACCTGCCAGGCCCCAACCCA